GCTGCACATATTTCTTCTCATCCTTTACTTTCTTCTTGCAACACATTACTTACTTCTTTTCCTCAACATGCTATTGGTGGAAGACACTTAATATCTACAAACAACCACTCATTAAATATAAAAACAAAGATTGGAAAGAAACAATAAAAATACTTTAATAGATTTATATAAAACAAAAGAAAATACTAACAAATATAAATTTAAGGATAAAACTTGTATTAATTTTGTGCTCATCAATGACAGTATGGGCAACATGGAACACCAAACTTGGTCAATACTCAATAGGGTTTGATAAATAAAAAATTTTAAAAATCTTCTGTCGATAGGATAAAATGGGTCATTTTGGCTTCCAAGAAACAAAGTAAAATTTGACCATACTTTCACGATAAATAAGTCTTTTGATAATAACCCTCAATATGGATAGTGGAAAAACATGTAGTTTACCCAAAAAGTATTTTCGTTTTGTTTAATCAAATTTAAACACGTGGAGGCTGGAATGGAAAGGAAGGCCAATGAACTGTCTTACGTTTCTTGGACCTCTCTCCTTCATATTTCTTTTGTGTTCCGTGTCTTGGTCCGTAGGTTATTATTTCTTCTAGTACCTTTATAAGCAAAGCCAAAACCGAATTGGGGTTTATGCGTAATCCATGACTTCTCAAGCTTTTTGGCTTCTGGGTATATACATCATCTGATTCATCTCTCACAATTCACAACAAGTAAGTTCTCAAACTTCAATTTCCATACTGACCATCAAATTTATTTTGATGTATACTTGATCATGATTACAAAAGCGTTTCTGTGCCCTGATCATGCGAGCTGTTTTTTCATTTGGATATTTGGTTTTCCTTGTTTCATGTATATGATCAGTTTGTTGCGACTTAGGTTTTGTGAAAAGCTTTTGTATCACTATATGGTGCTGGGCCTGTGATGTGAAATTGTTGTGTGATAGCTGAAACTACTGTATAGTTCTCACCAATCTTGATAATCAAATTCAAGAGTTGCGCTTTTGTTTTTGGCCCCTGTACGAAGATAGCTGGAAAATCATATAAATGAGCTACTTTTATTAGTTTCCTGGCTCTGTATCCTCTGATTCTCTCTCTCTCTCTCTCTCTCTCTCTCTCTCTGGGGTGACTTTCTGCATTATGAGAGACGAATGGTAAATTAATTGTATCTGGGTTCAATTAATTGTAAACGGATTGGTAAATTAATTGAACATTTTACTCTAGGTGGGTTCAATTAATTTTAATTGTAGATAGATTGCTTTGCATTTCAAGTTAAGGATCGTTAATGCTATTGCTTCCTGAAATAGGTTTTGGTTTTCTATTTTATTTGATTATTTATTATGTCTCTCAAATACTAGGCCTTTGGTTTTGCTTCTAAAGTAATTATAGGATGCTAAGACTTCCAGTCATATAATGATAGGATTTTCCATGGAAAAAAATTTATTGTCCTATACTCTATCCATGTATATGCAAGTCTTCCATGTTGGTTGTGTTTTGGGCTGTTGTCCAGTCAATCATTTTTAACTTCTATTTCATCAAGGCATTCATGTGACATACCCATCAAACCTTATGATATGATGCCTAATGTTAGTCCTTGTTTGAGGTGATGTGCAGATGGTAATTGGAGAAAGTTACTGTTCTAATCAGTTGGTTTGTTTGTCTGATTTGTTCAGTTCACCAACAGAAACTATGACATTGTTTCCATGTAGCACACTGATAATGATTTTGGCTGAGACTGGGTGTAACTCTACTAAAATTGATTTTTTATAAACAACCTAGTGTAATTTTGAGAGACAGAAAACATCCAGGAATCAACTAGACTTGAAATCTTTAAAGCTACCATAGACATATAGCATAAGCTAGAATGCTGGTGTATTGCTTTATTGCCTATTAGGTCTTTCCTGGTAAAGTTTTTGTCTTTTCGTAGGTATCATACAGAGCCAGAATGTCTCATTTGTTCCATAATAGGCGATTTAGTGTTTCAGAGATATTTCTTGCAGCTCTGGTAATAATTTATTCATTAAATATTTATATCCAAAGGCCATAACTCTCTGTATGCGTTCACACAAATGCTTGAGTATGCAAATTTTATCTTTCCCTTCAGCTGGTGTCCAGAGTGACTAATGGCTGCGTTTTTGGAGAGGAGAGAAGGGGAGGGGGGATATATGAAATTCTTAATTTAGCATTTATTTGATGTTTGCACCTCCATGCAATATGAAAGCACAACAGAATTAGTGTGCTTTTTGAAGTGGAATCTTTTTTTGCATTACAGAGTTTGAACGTAAAGGGCAAGCATTACCTGAACTTGGTACGGGAGATATTTATTAAATTTGTTTCTGTGTTGGAAGATCTTGATTATCAACAGTTAAACAAGAAGTGTGTTGCAGTGCATCTGTATTGTGATTCTTTTTATTTTTACGAATTAGACCATGTTATGGTGTTTGCCTTTGTTAGGTTCCCCTTTTGGGATATTAAATAATAGCTTTTTGTTAATTGATAATAGATCTCACTGTTGGAATCTTTGGGTATCATCTGTTACAAAAAATTCTGTACTTTTGTTAAAGACATTCAAAATGGCTTTTTTCAATAATTTTTAAATATATTTAAGTCAATGGCACACACTTAACAGCAGAAAGAACAAATTCAATAGCACCAGAAAAATCGTGCGCCATTTTGGTATAATATTTCTGTTTGAATGCTATGTACATTTTCCCGTAGCTAGAAGCTTATAATTTACTGAAAAACATTTTATGGGTCCTTTGCTTCTTCTTCAGATAAGAGTCATTTTTATGTATTCGTGTGAGCTTCTTCTAAATTTCATATGATTTCTTGCAGATGAATGCCAATTTGATATAAGAATTCATTACCGGAACTACAAAATAGCAGAAGATACACCTATTCTGTAAAGTTTAATTCATGATCACTATGGATGTAAATGGTATAACCTGGGTTGGGGGTGTATATGAGAAATTCGAATCTATGTGCTTGGAGGTGGAAGAAAATATGTACCAGGTAAGCCCTTTGAAGTTATTAGTCTTTTTCTGTCCACAGGATTCCTAAGATAAGGTCCTCATCTATATAAATGGAATGTTTGCCATAGACTGCTGATCTGGAGGTGTTAATTCATAAGTTTACAATTATTTCTTCGTCTTCATCCTCCTTTCAGCACTTATTGACATCTTTTTGTTGCCTGTATTGTTCTTTATACTGGTTATTTATTTTACAACTATATCTATGATCATCTGTTTCAGTGACCTATGCCAAATACGGCTTTATGTGATTTTTTGTTCATCTGAGACAGTAGTCATGTTAATTTTATTCTTGAGTTGCTCTAATGGTTTCCTTTCCCATTAACCGATATTCTTGCTCATTCTTTTATTTGGGACAGGATACAGTCAAATTTGTTGAGAATCAGGTACAGACTGTTGGTGCAAGTGTTAAAAAGTTTTATGCTGATGTAATGCAAGATTTGCTCCCTGACTCTTTGATAGATCCAGAGAAGATGTCAGCCTGTGGTTTCCCTGTCGAAAATATTTTTGATGTTGATAATTCTAAAAGTTCAAGGATTACCAAGAAAGAAGAACCTATAAAGGCTAATGTTGAACACTTAAATAGGGATTCAGAGGTGATATCTTCTGTTAAGAATAAGGATGTGGACCATAAACCATCCTTCCGTGAACAACACATGTATGACTATCGCACGCAATCTGCAGAGAGTTGTGCGGAAGAAGCATGCTTGGACTTGTACTCAAGACAAGACCATGATGGGAATATGTTTAACAATACAAACTTGGCTGTCAAAGAGAATCCAACGAAGCACAGATGTCCACAGGTGATTCCTCCTGCTGAAAAGGATTTGAGTGGACAATCATCATCCTGCCATGAAACCCGTAAAGGTTCATGCGAGCATATAGATGCATTTATAACCCCTTCTATCGATGAAGGTATGGCATATGACTCCACTAGGGAAGGTCGTGTGATTGCAAATGCAAGCCAATGTACTGCTGATGTTTCAATTGGCTGCCGCTCATCTGATATGATTGTTTTGGATAAGTCGGATGCAAAAGAATGGAATGAAATATTAGATTCATCCTTTGGTGGCTTATCATTAGAACCAAATGGTAACTACTTTTGGACCCTGTAAAAGTGTATTGTTTTTCACCAACCTTGATGCTTGTTCACTTTTGATTACGGGTTTGGCAGCTGCAGACATTTGTTTCATCAATGGGGTGGTTTCTCTGGTAGGATCCTCTCCAAGTGGACAAGTACAGTGTGAGAGATATGCTGAAAAGGAGGTCTCAGCGTCTCATCCTGGTACCACTGAGTACATCTCATTCTGATGCACATTAACCTTCTTGTTCTTGTTATTGAGTTGAGGCAAGATTTTGTTGATGTCGGTTTTAGATTGACAATTGATTAATGAAAAGTGATTGTGAAGATAATAACTCTGACATAATGATGGAGATATTTTTCTCAACTCTGGACCATTATAGATTTATGTTCATGTGGGATCCAGATTTTATATGGGTCCATGATAATCTGAAATCTCTTTTGTACATGTGAATTTGTATACTTCACTTATTTGGGTTTTCTAGATTGTGTACTGGTTCATGATAATTTGAATGTTCTTTTGTACATGTAGTAAGTAGTAACTGATGACTGCAAATTTTTCAGGGGGATCACATGACTCCACTTTGGATGCGATTGAGAGTAATATTGTTGTTGTACAAGAAATGGAAACCATTCAACAATCTGCCAAGGCGAAACTTGAGGAGACTTGTGTGATGGTGACTGGTGAGGATGTTCATTTTGTTCCTCACATGGAAGGCAAGCGTAGGCCTTACAAGGTACACTCTCCATCCCTCCCACGCCTTCTTCTCCCTACTTTCGCTGGCTTTAATTGAGACTTCTTTTCTAGAAAAAACTTCAGAAAGCCTTTTCCTCAAGAATGAGGTCTGCAAGGAAGCAAGAATATGAGCAGCTTGCATTATGGTATGGGGATGATGCAAAATCAAATTTGGAAAGTGAAGACGGTGTACTTCATTCTATTACTATGGAGGAGACGAAGAAATCACCATCTCATGAATTTTGTGAATCTGAATGGGAGATTCTGTAGGTACCCTTGTAAAAAGCTTGTGTAAATAAACCGCCTCACCGCAGCCTCCCCTTGCTGGTTATGGTGCTGTCCAAAATTCCTAGCTTAGGATAAAATTTGTACCGAAGTGGGTAAAATCCCCAACGATCTACTGCTCTACCGGGGAGTATATTAACAATCATGTAGTCTCCCTAAGATAAAGTGCTTGGAAATGTTATTTATATTTTAAATGGGACCAAGCCAATTGAGACGTACCTTTGCAGTCAGCATTGTTAATATATTGGCCTACTATTATGCATGGTTAAACTATTGTTTGCGCTGCTATGTTGTCTTTTTTGCGGTTTTCTGGTGTTGTCTTTTTTTTATTTTATTTTATTTTCTGTGTTGAATTTGTGAATGGAATCTGTTGAACTTGCGTAACTGGTTCAACTAAGTGCCTAGAGGGGAGAACAACTTATTCAAGTTAGAGTTATTATGGTTACTGTGTGGTGCTAACATCTTCTTCATGGTTTTTGTACTGATGGCAAGCAACTTATTGATATGCTTGTTCATTAATGTCTTTAGGACTTTATTGAATTCAAACACATCATAGAGATAAGATCCTAACGCTGAAGATAGTGATTTTCTTTTCTTTAATTTTTTCTCTGCCTTTTCTAAAGAACATACAGAGCTTTTGCATCCATACGGAAGCCGAATAACTTATATGATTTAGTGTACTTGATTTTTGTAAAAATGTGGTCTGAGATTTTAGATTGCCTGCCAGTTTAATTTAGACAGGCTACTAGGTCATGCTGATTTATGGCACCTACTCAAAACTCAGAGGGGATGCCGCACCTACAGGGCTTGCCAGCTTCTTAAGTTAACAGTTAAACTTAAATTTAGGTACCTTTTCTGTACATTCATCCTCTCTTATAAGTCCCTTCTCTTATAACTCTGTTGAAGGAACGAAGTATACAAAGTCTACTAACACTCATGACAGATCAAACAAGCAGGTCTTACGAGCTAAGAATGACT